TACGCTTTTTCCAGACATTTCACTTTTATCTTCCCGTTTCTTTCTCTATGTACCGCGTTCCCTCTGTCCCGTTGCTTCATTTTCTTTCATTTTCTGTCGAACTTTCTCTCCCGTTTTCTCTACAACTTTGCTTAGCCAGATGGGAACGCCAGCTGGGCTATCAGCACTGCCGAAACAAAAAGGTAACATAGAGTTTACGAGCGGCCGATGCAAACAGCCGAGAAGAAGATACATAAAACCCGATGCTGGTCTTCAAAGTATACATTTACATAAGAGCGGAACCTCGGCTACGGTGCTTGGTTTCGTTTTTAAATAGAATACGGTACTATCCCGCTAAATACTGGCAATTCCGTGCAATTCTCAAGCTAGGTAGCGGTAGGTCTGTTAAAGAATCGGGAGGAAATTTGTCGCCGATAGTATTTTTCCAAACGATCGTATTTTCTCAAATTACACCGCTCTCGAGCATCGACGCGACAATTTCGACATCGAGAGCGACGTGAAAATCCCACTGTCGACGGACGGGGATACGCGATAAACGTAGTAAATATACGTTACAAACGAGGTAAACATTGAAAGTTAGATTTCGCGGGGATAAAAAGAAAATAAACACTTGCTCGCAGAAATATTTATCGAAGCGTTCTTGAAGCCTTCGTACGGATAAATCGACGAACAACACTTGCGTTCGTAAGACGAGACGAGACGGGGACGCTGAATATTTAGCAAATTGCTTTAAACAACGATCGTCGAGTGTGCAATTCGTTTCTGCCGAATTATGATCGAGTGAAAATTTCGTTACAAATGATTAAACGACAAAGCGGAGATAAAATAGTTTGCTAAAAGGCAGTTAAAGAGAGATTCGATTGGGAAAAAAGGAGAGAACGCGAAGAGAGGAGAAACGCAGAAACAATTCGTTGCTAGTAATTAAAACACTTAAATGTTCATTGAACGGGCAAAGCAAATCTTGGAGGGATTAAATGAGATTCAACGATGTATGAATAATGAATTGAGGAGCAAAGGAAATTTTGTGAAGTGAAAAATAAAATAGAATGCAATCAATGCGTCGCGTATGACCCAATAACGAACATGGAGAACGGAGCGAAATGGAATGAAATTACGATATCAACGTTTGTAAAATTTTATCAATCGTAAATATTACTTGCTATCTCGCGTTCTGCGCCATAAATTCTTCACTCTGAAAACAAAAACAGAGAAAAAACGCAGTAACAAGCATTATATTTTATTGACGTCCAAGCAAACGATTCATGAATCACTTTTCTGTATGAAACAAATTGGACGGGTAACAAAAGAAATTCAGATTATTTGTTAATCGATAAAAAAGAAGCTCTGTAGTTTACAGAGCGTATAAAAATAGCGAACCGTATAAATTTCCTCCGTCGTCTTCGTTTCAGGAAGTCGAATTCTCGTTGTTAACGATCGTATCGATAAATAGATCGAACACATTTGTAGAATATCAATTGGACGATTATCTCGAATTGTGAAAATAGCAGAACAATATAAAAAGAGAGTATCTTCTTAGAGAATAGATCTTAAAATTAACGCTTTAGCAACGGATGAAAGTTTCGTTCATGGAAGCTCCTCGGCAAACGATCGATTTCATTACTCTGTATTAACTTCTATAAAATCTCAAAGACGAGGGAATAAAGAATAAATTACGCTGCGTTGATCATATCGAAATTTACGAAATTAATTTGCACGTTTCAGCGACGACGAAGATTTTAATTAAAACCCTATCTTGGTTGCGACAAGAATATTCTGCACACGCGCAATTCGAGTGTCTTCGCGTAGCTTTATACTGGAGAAAAACGATAGTTTTCAGGAAAAAGTGACGAACGAAAGTTCTCGAGAAAATTATATACGCGTGATAAAGTGATAATACGATATAATCTACGAAAACCTCCGTTGGAAATAACGAACGAAGTAAAAGGGAGAAAAGCTGGAAGGGAGAGGGAAATTTGGAGGGATAATATTGGCTCGTAAAATTATAAAAAGTTACGGTGGAACTTCTTTCTCCCCCTTTGTAAATTTTATATAACACTTCGGCCCTCCTTTGAGAGGCCTAAATAAATATTCAATTATCGAGGGTTTAACAGTTGCGGGAATCTTTTTGCGCGTTCGATGGAAAACTGTTGAAGGGGTTAAGAGCGTAGTGAAATTCACATCCCATAAATTCTTCTGAAAGGATTCACTCGTGAAGAAGATACGGTGCCGCGTCGCATAAAGATGTCTGAGGATGGAAAAGAAAAAAGAAAAATTTAATGGCCGTTCAGGCGATAGGAAGAAAAAAAGGAGAGAGAAAAATGGAGAAGAAGGAGAAAACAAAACGGGCCAGCAATAGTTGAAATGACCCACTTTTCTGTTAATTGGCGTCGCTGGCGGTCAGCCACAAAGAGTCGAATGGTAAATACTAATGACTCCTTTCTCATGGAATAGAACTCCGCGACGTAAAAGTTTAATTGCTTCGATTAAGATTCGAATCAGCCACATGGGAGACAAAAATCGACTCGCGTTAACGCGAATTTCTTTTACCCCTTGATTGCAGCAATATGCAAAACCTCGAGTTTCATTACTACATATCGATCTTGAATTGCTAACGATTCGTAGGCTTAGCTTAATGTTGTTGTTTGAAATTTTACGAGTAATTTAGCGAAATTAATTATAATTTCGATGTCGTGTTTCTTCTTTCATTGATATTAGACGTCTCTTTAATAATTTATTACCGCACGTATAAGTTTCTTTCTTCGATCACTTTTCTACGATGAAAATTAAGTCTTCCTTTCCAGCATCAACCGATATTTTCAAGCTTTCTACCCTGATACGCACAGATCGCGTGGCACAGAAATACTATATTTCTGTCACACTTAATTATCGTCTGTGATTCGATCTACCGCTTTACACGCATTCTTTCCTACACATTTCCTCTTTCGTTCATCTCGACCGCTTTCACTCTCGATTCTTCCACATCGGTCCAATCTTCGGAAAAAAGTATCGTGTTTTCGCTCGTCGTACAAAATTGGTAACAACGAAAGGATCGTACGACCTGAAAAAGTTTCAGGAATAAGAACGAATACTTCAAGTGCAATATGATTAATCGAGAAGCAAGGAATTATATTCTTGCAACCCGTTCTTATCGATATTTTTAACCCTTCCTCTTCGTTGTAACCCTTTCTTCATACTTTAGTTTTCTACGTCGAGAATGGTTCCTTTATC